TTGCCCCCAATGTGGGTGACGATTTCGCGCGCAAAATCCCTAAATCCAGACCGCATGGCGCTCAAAGCTACATCCTGGCTCCAACTTGCCTGACGATCCTCCATCCAGGCCTTGCTTAATACCTCTAGGTACCCCAGTACCTTGTCCCACTTGGCCTTGTCATCTGGCTGGGCCAGCACCTCCTGTCTGCACGCCTGCACCTTTGCCACCTCTGCGGTCATCTTGTTCACTTCCTCTCTCTCTTCATCCTCAGCTTCCATGCTAACTTTTGTTCCTCCTCCCTCTCTCTTCGTTCCATCGGGTCTGTCATGGCTGCTAGCTCAGCGGCCAGCGCCGCCTTCTCATCCTTAGTCACATATGACTCCACCTCCTCGTCTTCCCCCAACGATAAGTTAGCGACCCACTCGCTGATCTTCTTCTCCAGCTCAGGATTTGTCTCCCACTTCATCGTGCCACTACTACTTCCTTCTCCACTCTCAATCCTCATCCTCTCTTTCTCTTCTTCTGCTGCCGCTTCTGCTTCAACACCCTTCTTTCTTTCTTCCTCCTCCTGTTGTACCCTCTTCATCTCCTCCTCCAATCTCTTCATCTTCCCCGCCTGCTCGTCTGCGATAGCCTTTAGCTTGGCTTGCTTTTCACGCTCTTTCCTCTCCTTACTCTCTCTGACTAAGGCGGCCATCTGTTCTTGCTGCTCAGTGGTGTAGGGGCTAGTCTTCTTCCCACTACGGGTCTCAACCATGGTGATAAGTGTACAACCGGGTTAGTGGTTCCAAACCTCACCACGTAGACGTCAACCCCTGACTGACAGACCTACTGACTCAATCTAAGACTCACAGAATCCTGACAGGGATCCTGTCAACTATGGTCTCTAGCCTAGACCTACACTATGGCTGTCACTACTGAACCAGTGACTGATCATGAGGCATTTAAGGAGATCCCCCGTAACTCCTCAAGAATTCTTTAACGTCGCAGACATGACGACGTGATCAGCTTTGTTCTGCCTGTGCTTTCAGCCCACAACTCAACCTTTCCGGCCTACTGTGCCACACCAAGCAGCCCACCGGTCTGTACCGGTCCTTGGGAGGGTTCGTATCCCCCGGGACAGTAGAGTCGTCAGACACAGATCATCAACCTTACTTGGTCTGGTAGGGGAGTGGTTCCAACAGGCCCTCAACACTTAAAGACGGCCTCCGTTTCAGCCTGCAGCTCAGAGTTCAGACCCTCTACACTGTAACTGAACAGACCTGCCGGACAGTACCGGTCATTGGGCTAGACGAGTTGTTTAACGAGCGCTCGCCGCTCATGCCCAGGTCTCCACATACCAGAGTAGAGATTRGTCCTACTAAGTCTCGTGCAGGTTTGGCAGCAAGGCCCTATCCTTCATCCACAGAGTTCTATGACCTAGGACAGAAGAGACTCAATGCAGAAAGAATAGACAGACAGATTGTACTCAGCAAGTACCAAGGGGTATGTGCACATCCATAGGGCAAGGGGCAGGCTAAGGGCTTGGCGAGATGTTACCAACTCCAGCTTGGTCAAAGTCTTGGTCAACGCCTTGGTCAACGCCGGTCAACGCTGCTATGACCTTCGGTCAACTTCGGTCAACTCCGGTCAACGCCTCCAGTCAACCCTCTCGGTCAACTCCCCGGTCAGCTATGGCTGCCGGCACTTCTTCCTCGCCAATCCCCTTCTTCTTCCTTACC